CCTGGGCAGCTCACAGCTGGAAGCCTCTCTCGTACTGATTCTGCCCCAGAAATGCCAGCCAGTGTGCTGGGGTATTGGCATGTCAATGCACACAGCACTGCAGAGCAAGAATACAGCAGAAGGGATGCTGGGATCACCACAGCAGGCAGGGGCATGTGGTTGCTATAGGGTGAGGTAAAACAAGAAAGGGGAGAGAGAGGAGAATGGAGAAGCAGATTTTTAGTCCTCCCAGACGTACAGATGTGACAATAATTCCTCCATCACCCCTGCTCAAACACCTGCCCACGTTTCTCTGCTCAGCTTTGCTCTTGCTCGAGTTTTTGGGTCACTGGAGTCAACACTAGACAGCAGCTGACAGAAATGCCCATGGAAGGGGTAAAGGGGAGGGAGCCAAGGCAGGTCAGGCTGCAGGGCTGAACAGCTACCAGGGAGATCAGGACAAAGCATGGGAAGGGCAAGAAAGCTTCAAAATGCCAATTCTGCGGCGTCCTAAGGTACACAGAGACTCCTGGGAGAGCAGGCTCTTGGCCAAATTTGTCAGCACTCTGTCACTAACCAGGCAGTGAATTAAGTTTATTTTAGCCTGGCCTTCCGAGAGGGAAGGATGAGAGAGGGATGCCAGCTCTCCTAACAAGCAGCCTTGTCCTCGCCCTTCCAAGAAGCACCAACCTGTGCCTGCCTTTGCAGCTCGCTGGAAGAAGTTCTGTTCATTGTAGATCTTCCCATCTTTGACATCCTAAAGGGAACAGCAAGGAGGAGCATTACTTCAGCCACACACACCCTGCTAGAAAGGGAAACTTGGGTAAGACTGCTACCAGACCTTCACTATTAATTTTAATGAAAGCAACAACCCCCCAAAAAAGAAATCAAATACCAGGTCAGCAACAGAGCTGAGAATAGAGCTCAGGTCTTTTGGTTCACTATTGAATGCTGCACCCAACAACCACACAAACTGAGCATCAGCACATAAAGAGGGAGCAGCTGTCCCACGTTGGATATTTCAAGCGCCAACACTTACAATTATCTGTGGGTTAAAAGCATCTAGACAATACAGACTATCTGGCAACCTCGAGCGAGCCCTAGTCCCAAAGCTGTTATTTTAAAAGGAGCCAGAGGCAACCTTCTTATCCACAGAGCCCATGAGGTTATTTCTGCAAACAGGCAAGTCCCAACTAAGAACTAGAATGTTTTATTGTAGCTGTCAGAAAGTGAGACAAGTAAAAAAAAGTCTGTATTTGTGACACTCAAGTCATTTGTGACTCAAGTCACTGTCTGGGCAGTGTGCTGACATCTTACAATCCATCCCTTCAAATCAGCAAGCGTGACTGCCCTTTCACTGCTGCTGTTACTGAGTGAAATGTGTGTAGTTCACAGTCCATACACAAGCATTTGCCTATACACACGTACACACACGCTCAGCACACTGCACACCAACTTCACACAGGTGCTGTTATCCATGGGAGGAGGCAGTTTTATATTCTGGCTGGTTTGATATCAAAGGCCCTACCCACAATTGGTCAGGGTTGCTGGAGGATCAGCAGGCTGCAGACAACACACCCGGCCATGCTCCAGAGGATATTTTATTCTGCACCTTGCCTGGTGAAGCGATCTGAGCCCTCAAACCAGGAGCCAAAACGCTGTCATGTGCCATATCATAATCTACAGTCCTCTGCAGCCACGTGGGCTGGGCTGTTAGAAGGCTACTGAGCAAAATGCCAAAAGACCCCAGAGGTGCAAAACAGAGGAGCTGGGAGTGTTGTGTAGAGAAGTGATTACAGTTTCCCACCTACTGGTTTCTAGTTTTGTGGCACTTAGCTGTCTTTTCTCATTAACACTGTATTCTTTCTCCATCCTCTTAAATGGCTCTTCTGACAAAAGGGAGAGTGATTTTTCAAGTGCCTGCAAGAGTGGGCACCACCAGGTCCCCCCAGAGCCATTAGTCATCACTGGTCTTCCCACAGACAACCAATCCCCAAGAGCCACAGGAGACAAGAAAAACGGCCTCTCTGCTCCGGTTTGTGAGTTACTGAAAATCAATGAACTGAAGCTCCACTGCAGAACAGCTATTGCTGGAAACAGCGTGTTTCTGGAGAACTCAAGTTATTAGCAAGTGCCTAGAAAGCTGGCTCGGAACTCCAGCTATAATTACTGTTTGATTTAAAGATGTGCTCAGTCTCTCAGTGCTGGCTGATCACACTGCCTCAGCACAGCCACCCAATTCAAACCTCTCCAGTCTCCCCAGACTTCACCTGCCATATAGGAAAAAAGCAGGGCTGACATTAATGACTCAAGATCTCTACTTTACACCACCAAATTCAGTTCTGGAGATTACAAAACTTGGTGGATTGAAAAGGCAACCTTCTGGGATGAAGGCTTTTCCTTTTTTTAATCCTCCTATCTGTTTTCTTCACACCTTTAGTGGAAGAGCCAACTGCTACTGAAATCCAAGCATGACACTCTCAGGAGTGTCCATCCATCTCCTGAGCTAGAAGCCCCTCTGTGACCACTCTCTCTGAGTTCCTCGGACATTCTTAGCCATAGAGCCCTCATGGGTCAGGCCCTGGACGCAGTACACTATGCACTATTCCTTACCCAAACAGATCAAAACTCACAAGTTTGAGGGAGTATCTTTGCTTTTGAGGGCAGGTTCCAGATGCTGACTGGGCTGTGGAAGGATGGAACACACGTGGTTACAGGAGCACAGAAAAGAGGTCCTCGCAGAGTCAGCTGCATCACTAAACACAGCCTGCAGAGCTGGCTTCTACTGATCCTCTGCTTCTTTCACTCGGTCTCTGCAAAAGCATCCTCTCTGACAGCATCCTCACAAATTACTACAAAATAATTCTTACCTTGCTCCAGAAGCACAGCCCCCCTGACATGCTTCGAGTGCAGTTCTGCTTAAGTCACAGAAGCATCTAGGCATGGCTACAGCAGTGGGGTGCTTTGAAGATGGTACGTAAAGAACAAATCATTAGTAGAATCTGAAAGGGAGCCCCAAAGTCATCTGCTGAGCTCACTTCATACTGTGTCAACTCTCTAAGAGATGCCAAAGTCCCTTCTGCTGTGCACAGATGTTAGAATTATACGTGGCCTTCCTCCTCCAAAAAGATTTGCACCCCTGACACGGCCTTGGGGTAGTTCCTCTTTTCCTGCTCTTAGACTGAGGGCTACACACAGGTTACGTGCTGCTCATCACCCAATAAAAGCACCTTCCACTATAATAACAATATTGATTTTATCTTTTTCTAACATCACATCTTTTTAAAGACGTAGGTGGACACCCAGACTTTGTCAGACAACAGCATAAGTAATTAGTAAGAAACTAAAGCCAAATATCGGGCAAAGCTAACTAATGGAGAAAATTCCTCCTGCAGAGTGTTTCCCAGTTAGAAATACAGAGTGAGACTGGAATCTTTCCTTTGGAAGTT